CACTCATGCTACGCAAGCATTCTGCCCACAAACTCACATTCCCATTCCCGAGTACCTTTCTTTTTGAACAGTGTTACCCCTTCCTTTGCTTTCTCAGTTTGTCCCTCCCATCCCCACCCACAAATTCTATGGTTCATTTTCAACATAGTGGTAGTGAGTACCACTGCTTCATTTGTTCACCCTTTGTCCCTCCATTTCTGTGCCTTCCCATACCCTCCTAAAGACAATCAAACAAGACAAAAAGAAAACAAAAACAACAAAGAAAGAAACCTCTTGTTTCCATTTTCTGGAGTTCATTTTGATAAATAGTATTTTATACAATTGGAAGCACATAAGTATGTGAATGGCTAGAGGCCTGTATGATTTGCCATGTCCCAGTGTAGTTTAAATCTAGCTTCCACATTTGAGAGGAAACAGCTCTGTTTGTCTCTCTGAGCTTGGCTTACCTCACTTAACAACATTTGCCCCAAGTCCTTCTATTTCCCTGAAAATGACATATTATTGTTTCTAATGGTTGTATAAAATTCCCACATGTATAGATACCACATTTTTGGGACCATTCATCTATTGTAGGGCATCTGGGCTGTTTCCATCATTTAGCTATTGTGAATAATGCAGCAATAAATGTGGATACGGACTATCAGTGTGCTGGGTACCAGTGGCTCATGCCTGTAAACCCAAGCTACTCAGGAAGCTGAGATCTGAGGAGCATAGTTCTAAGTCAACCCAGGCATGGAAAGTTCTTGAGCCTCTTATCTCCAATTAACTGCCAAAAAGCCAGAAGTGGAGTTGTGGTTCAACTGGTAGAGTGCTAGCTTTGGGGAAACAAATTAAAAGCTCAGAGATAACTCTCAGGTCCTAAATTCAAGCCCAGGACTGGCACACACGCATGTACACCCCTCCCCCGCAACAACCCTCCCCCTCCCTTAAGCAGACAAATAGGCTACAGTCAGCAGGATGGGGAAAATATCTCATCAGAGAAGTTAAACTGTTTGCACACAAGTGATTCCTACTCTTGACACTTTTAACTTTTAGCTGACCAACATCATTTCCTGGGAGTCAGCGAAGGGCAGGAACATGGGTTATAACTAATTTAGTCTTCACGGAAACCTTCTTTGGGAACACCTAGGAATTCCTTTTACAGAAAAGGATTGCCTTCCTCTCCCTCTGTCTGCTTCCTGGCTGTCATGAGGTGATCGCAAGGCTCTGCCATGTGTTATTCATGTCCTCCTTTCTAGAATGTTCTGCCTTACAATCAGTGGGCAAGCCAACCACGAATGGAAACCTCTGGCACCATGAAAAATGGACTCCGTGTGTGTGTGTGTGTGTGTGTGTGTGTGTGTGTGTGTGTGCATGACTGCCTACCTATCTGAGAATTGGGTCTTGGACTCTTACTTGGCTTTATGTTCAAGTCTAATGCTCCACCACTTGAGCCACAGCTCCACTTTCAGCCTTTTGGTGGTTAACTGGAGATGAGACTCAAGGATTTGTCTGCCTGTGCTGACTTCAAACCTCAGTCTTCCCATCTCCTCCTGAGTAGCTTGGATTACAGGCTTCATTTGGATTAGTCGGTGCCTGGTTACCTTCCTCCTTTAAACTCTTTCTCAATAGCAAAGTAAAAATCGAACGCAATCTTCACTAAAAGCAAAAGGGAAAGTGGACTGTCGTGTTGCCCTGTGGAAAATCCTTTGTTCTTTGAAGAGGGTATTTTCATCTCAGGGCAGCAGTTTCATAGAACCTTCTGTGATAATGGACGTGTGCAGAATCTATACTCCCCCATATGGCTGTCATTGGCCACCTAGGGTCACTGACACCGTGAAACGGGGTTTATAGTAAGGTGAGATTTCATTTCATTTTAACTAGTTTAATTAATTAATTCATTCATTCATTCATTTTCCCAGTCTTGGGACTTGAACTCAGGGCCTGGGCACTATTCCTGAGCTTCTTTTGTTCAAGGCTAGCACTCTACCACTTGAGCCACAGTTGCCACACCCAGCCTTTTCTGTTTATGTGGTACTGAGGAATGGAACCCAGGGCTTTATGCATGCTAGGCAAGCACTCTACCACTAAGCCAACTACCCAGCCAACTTTTGGCTATTTTATTGGTTAATTGGACATCAGAATTTCATGGACTTTCCAACCCTGGCTGGCTTTGAAGCACAATCCTCGGATCTCACCCTCCCAAGTAGTTAGAACTCCAGGAGTGAGCCACAGGTACCCAGCATGTGTGTGTGTGTGTGTGTGTGTGAGAGAGAGAGAGAGAGAGAGAGAGAGAGAGAGAGAGTCATGGTAATTGAACTTGGGGTTTTGGCACTGTCCTCAAGCTTGTGTAGTCAAGATTAGCACTCTATCACTTTGAGCCATAGCTCTACTTCCAGCCTTTTTTGGTGATTAATTGGAGATGAGTCAAACTGTGAGTCTCAGATCTCAGCTTCCTGAGGAGCCAGAATTATAAACATGAGCCAGGGGTGCCTATCAAAGCAATGGGGTTTTTTGTTTTGTTTCTTTTCTTTTTTCTTTTTTTCTTTTCTCTTCTTTCTTTCTCTCTTTTCTTTCTTTCCTTGCTTTCTTTCTTCTTTCTTTCTTTTTTCTTCCTTTCCTTTCTTTCTTTTCCTTCCTTCCATCCTTCCTTCTCTTTCTTTCTTTCTTTCTCTCTCTCTCTCTCTCTCTTTTTTGTCAGTCATGGGGCCTGAACTCTGGGCCTGGGCGCTGTCCCTCAGCTCTTCAGCTCAAGGCTAGC